AAGGAGAACCAGCCCAGTCAGCATCTGTAAAACCTTCCACCCTGAGATGACCATTTGATTTATATAGTAACCCTAGGACTGGAGCTTTCTTGAGATATCGTATAATCTGAAGAACAGCAATCCAATGTGGCATTCTAGGAACTCCTATGAACTAACTCACAACACTGACTGCATATGAAATATCAGGTCGAGTGATAGTGAGATAAATTAATTTCCCAACAAGGCGACGAAACTTGCCTGGGTCATTAAATAGATCACTCTCATCAGATACAAGTTTTGTATTTGAATCCATAGGAGTATCAACCGGACGACCACCCAACATACCTGTTTCTTCTAATAAATCCAACACATATTTGTGTTGGGATAAACTTATACCTTTCTTGGATCTAGCAACTTCAATGCCCAAGAAATACCTAAGTTTACCCAAGTCTTTAGTGTGGAATTGATATTGCAGAAACAACTTCAACTTAGCAATGCCTTCAGAATCATCACCTGTGATCACAATATCATCTACATACACCACAAGAAATATGAAGCCAGCTTTAGTGCGCTGGTGAAACACCGAATGGTCGGTCTGACATCTCTTAACACCAAATTTTAACGCCACCTTAGAGAATTTTCCAAACCAAGCCCATGGAGATTGTTTCAATCCATACAGAGCCTTTTTAAGGCGACAAATAGTGTGAAGATACTCCCCCTGAGCAACAAACCCAGGTGGTTGCTCCATATAAACCTCTTCTGCTAAGTCACCATGCAAAAAGGCATTTTTAACGCCTAACTGAAACAGAGGCCAATGTTTATTAGCAGCAAGAGAAATCAAAACATGAATAGAAGAAATCTTAGCAACGGGAGAAAATGTCTCGTCATAGTCAATACCATAAGTTTGGGTATAACCTTTGGTAACAAGACGTGCTTTTAAACGCTCAACAGACCCATTTGGAAGATACTTCACAGTATATACCCAGCGACAACCAACAGGTGTGACATCCGGAGGTAATGGAACAAGATCCCACGTGCCATTCTTATGCAAAGCATCCATTTCATCTTGCATTGCGTTCCTCCAGCCCAAATCAGACAACGCATCCTGCACAGTCTTAGGAACGAATGTAGTAGACAACTTAGAGGAAAAACAGGAGAATGATGGCGATAAGGAATTATAAGAGACATAATGAGCAATAGGATGGTTAGTAACACATGAGCGAGGAGCTTTACGAAGTGCAATAGGCAAGGAATCAGACACAGTGGAAGGCGCCGGATCCAAAGACTTTGAAGACGACGGAGGAGGCACAACAACAGATGGCTTTGGTCTTCGAGTGTACACCTATAACGGGGCAGATGAAGGAACAAGAGATCGAGGTTGAAGAGAGAGTGAGGGAAGAGGAACGGCAGAAGGAGGCGACTCAAGAGTGATATCAAGAAGTGAATCAGTATCTGAAAAATATGGGATGGACTCAGAAAACGTTACATCTGCGCTAATAAAGTACCGTTGAGAGGACTATAGCAGCGATAACCTTTATGAGAGCGAGAGTAGCCAAGAAATACACACTTTGTGGCACGTGGGTCTAATTTATCAAAACCAGGACCAAGATTGTGGACATAACATACACATCCAAAAACCCTAGGAGGAAGAGAAAACAAGGGAGAATCAGGAAATAAAATAGAATGTGGAGATTTGCCATCTAATACAGATGACGGCATACGGTTAATAAGATGATAGGCAGTAAGAACAGCATCACCCCAAAACCGTTTAGGCATACGCATATGAAACAAAAGAGCACGAGTTACTTCTAAGAGATGTCGATTCTTACGTTCTGCAACTCCATTTTGTTGTGGAGTATAAACACATGAATTTTGATGAATAATTCCTTTATCACTAAGATATGTATCAAATGGAGTTAAAGAATATTCCTTAGCATTATCAGAACGTAGAATACGAATTGGACATCCAAACTGAGTTTTGATTTCTTTGCGAAATTTTTGAAAAATTAAAAATAACTCAGAACGATCTTTCATTAAAAACAACCAAGTCAGGCGAGAATAATCATCCACAAATGTCACAAAATAATGAAATTTATTGATTGAAGAATGTTTTATTGGACCCCATACATCTGAATGAACCAAATGAAAAAGACTAGCGACACGATTATTAACCTTAGACTTGAAAGACACGCGATGATGCTTACTAAGTTGACAAACTTCACATGACAAGAATTTCAAATGACTAAGACTAGGAACCTGACGCTTCAAAACTTGAAGTGACGGGTGACCAAGGCGACAGTGCCACTGGAATGGAGACAGAGAAGACTGAAGAGCTACAGGAGAAGGTTCGAAATCAAAATAATATAAGCCACCAGCTTCATGCCCCGTACCAATCGTCTTCTTCGTCTTGAGATCCTGAAACACACAAGAAGTAGGATTAAATGTAACAGAGCACTGGAGAGATTTAGTAAGCTTACTGATAGACATTAAATTAAAGGGAAACTGCGGAACATGTAAAATAGACGAGAGAGACAATGAATCACTAAGTTGAGTTGTCCCCAAACCTGAAACCTGAGTGGATGAACCATTAGCAAGAGTAACACTTTGAGAAGGATGTACAGAATGAAAATCAGATAGAAGAGAAGAACATCCGGTCATATGATCAGATGCTCCAATGTCTATGATCCAAGGACTGCGAGTGGAAGACAATAGACATGTGTGTGCAGTACCTGACTGGGCAAAAGTAGCTGTGGAAGATGAATTAGATGCTTGCTTATAAGACAAAAACTGAGTATACTCATCCCGTGGAACAGGAACTGTATCTGATTCAGCTACGTTGTGCGATCCAGAAGCAACATCATTCGGAGAAGAGGAAACTTATAACTAGATGATTTCCCATGAAGATCCCAACAAAAGTTCATAGTATGATTAGAAAGACCACGATGGGTACACTTTCTATATTCCCTGCCACGGCCACGTCCTCCACCTGAATCACGACCACCACGTGTGGAGCGTCCCCCATGACCTCCACGGTAAGTATTATGTTCATCCTTTGAAACCACTAATGCTGAACGCTCACCACTCTGTCCAGTATTCAAATTTGAGGTATCACTTGCAAGTGTAGCACGCTGAAGTCTAGAAAACACCTCAGCAAGAGATGGAAGTGTTAAACTGCTCATAATCTATGCACGAAAAGGCTCATATGCTGATGATAAACCAGTAAGAAAACGGACAACATTAAAGTCCGCACGCTGTTGTTGCATACTGCGAACATCACCCGTAATAGGCTGATACATATTCAGCTCTTCACAGACTCCCATAACTTTGGAATAATACTCTTCTATACTTTGAGTACCTTGTTCAAGATTGAAGTACTGCTTACAGAGCTCATAAACATGAGTGATTTTACCTGTCCCAGAATACAATTGCAGCAATCTGTCCCATATCTCCTTGACAATATCCAAATAAAGTAGAGTTGAACTAATTTGGGGTTCAATACTGTTTATCATCATAGAAATGATCTGAGCATCTTCCTTTTCCCATGCATCAAAGGAGACATCAGTTGCCTTGGGTTTCTCTTCAGTCAAATGAGAACCAAGACCTCTGCCTTTGAGGAAAATGGCAACAGATTTAGCCCACAATATGTAATTCTTCCCATTGAGTTTAACTGAAGTCATGGGAGAATTAAGACTATTCGTGGGTGAAAGTAAATCTGAACTAGATGCCATGTTGAATCCAGCAAAACAGAGAAGAAAAACGGCAGGAAAAAAAACAGATTTTGTATTCTGGTCGAACCTGGAAAACGACTCGGATCTAGAACCGGGTCGGATCTTGGGTTGGGTTGGATCTTGGACCGGGTTGGGTTTGGTCAACGGACCTGGTCAAACGGGTTGGACTGACCTGGGCTATCCAAGTTTAGCAAACTAGGGTTGAAGTAGCTATAACCGTGTAGCCAAACAGAGGTCTTCTTCTTCACACCTTCATAGATGCCGGGGAATAATGTGGCGGCGATGATGGCGACCCAATCACAAGTAATGGCCGAATCAATAAGCAGCGATCGCTGCAACTTTCGGCCAACAGAGATGAACCTCACCTCTGCGAATCAAGATTGTAGAGGTCGGCGAGCTCGCTAGCAACCAAAGAGAAGCTGCCGGCGACGACGAACACGGCAGAGACGACGACGAACACGGCAGAGACAATGACGAACAACTCCCAGATCGGACGACGCTGTAGATTTGACGACGATGAACAAGCCGCTACTGATGACGACAAACAAGGAATCGACGGTAGAGATCACCAACACCACAACTGCAATTCAAATCTTATACAACAAGAACCCAATTACAGATTCTCACACCCATGATCGTACGCTCTGACACCATGTTCAGAGTTATATATATGAGAGAGAGAGAAGTTTCAGACTTGTATATTCATCATCATCTAACCTAATAAAGTGTACAAAGGCTTATACAAAGAGTACAAGTCTTACTTAACTACACAAGGGCCCCTATCAAGTTTCTGTAATTACATAATGGCCCAACACACACACACACACACACATATATATATATATATATATATATATATATATATATATATATATATATAACATTCTAACACCTAGGAATTCCTAATCAACCGTAACCTCGTCTTCACTGCTTTTTCTTCGAGAAAGTTAATCTCTGAATGTATATTGTATTTTCTGCCATTGATAAATTTTTGTTCAAGACTAGAATAATTTGTTAAAGTCTTTCAGATAAACTACAATTTTATGTCAAAGTGGAGATTGGAGACTGAATAGTCTTAAGGTACCATGACATGATTGTCGTTTTGAGAAGCAATTGAAATAACTGTGTAGAAAATAGGCCATTAAAAATTATTCCTGTGGCAACTTGAAGTTATTTCCATAAAACTCTTCCATATGCATCTTAATGTGTGTGTGTGTGATCCTTTAGTGTTTTGTATTTTTGCATTTAACATACTTTCTTCATGAATTGATCGTTCTTTATTTTATGTTTCAGAAAGTAGTTGATACATCGGGAGGGTAAGTTCCGTTACAGGAAGCAGGTCCACTTTATGTTGGAATTTTTATTATTATAATTATTACTATTATTATTATTATTTTCCCTAATTTCTTCTGATTGCCTTTCTTTGACTGAAATTCATGTAATGCGGTTATTAGGTGTGGCGCAAGCTTTGAAATTGAGATTGTATCGGAACATTTTGAAGGAAAAAGGTTGCTGGAGAGGCATCGTTTGGTGAACACTGCATTGACAGAGGAAATGAAAGACATCCATGCGCTCTCAATAAAGAAAGCTCTGACCCCAGAGCAGTGGAAAAAGCAGCAAGAGTCCGAGAATTCTCAATCGGCTGCTTGAACGTACTTCTGCTAGTTCTATATTCCAGATAAAAGATCTTATGCGCTCTATTAGCATCATAGTTTGTGTGGAAAAATGTTTTTGACATAAATATTTTGACATTAAGATCATGACATAAATATTTTGACATTAAGATCATAAATTATTATCCTTTTCTCGGTCTGTGGAGAAAACTTTTGAAGTTGGGATAGATCATGGTTGGAATGTTGGATACGAGGCTGAGGTTCTCATCTGTCTCCAAACCGATCTTATAGCCTTAGATCTTCTCATAGTACTCCCGGGACCTCCGAGTCCTGGGCAAACATAAAAAGAGAGCCCTATGAATGATCATTAACATCAAGCAGCAGTTTGTCAAGCTCCTCCAATCTCGAGGCATTTGAAGGCTGCATTATGTATATGTTATCATATTGTGGAATATTACAAAACTGCATTTTCGTGTTCGGAGCATATTAGGTTTTGACCTACAGGAAGCTTGTTTGCGAAAATAAGCCAACCAAATTGACGTTTCGTGGATGGTGTTCAAATACCGATCTACCTCTCTCTTTGTGATTTTAGGTCTTAACTTTAAAGCCCCGGGTTCAAGATTGGTATAGAGAAGATGGTTTGCAAATTTGAACTTTAGAAATTCATGGAGTTCAATTTTTGACTTGTAAAATGGTTATGGCAAGGGACTTGGATCCTCTACTCCATTTAGGGTGGTTATTGCACTAACAAGTGGGACCCATATTATATGATGGTTTAATCGCACTACTTATGATGTAATTTCCACCCTTGATAGTATACCGAACCCTCTCCACTCTATTGCTGGAGGGGATCCAAGCTATATAGCTTTTGAGCTAACAAATTTGCGTAAAGACTTTTTAGCTCACAGCTTTTGAGCTCATAAATTCGCATAAAGACTTTTTAGCTCACAAAGCTTCATTATAGTCCCTGATTAACGTGGTGTTGTGGCTCTGGGGCAGATTACTGTATCTCCAATTTGTTATCTTGGGGTGGGTCCAAAGGAACCTAAAAAAAATTGAGAAGCTTGACATGATTTAAAAAATATTTAAGCTAGAACTTAATAAAGCAACTATGAAGGAATACCAAGGTGGTATGCGCCACTACGTAAATTTGTTTTTTCATCATCTTATATTTGATTTTACTTTGGACTATTGTCTATTGCTGAGAAAAGGACAGGCTGAGCCACTTGGTTCAAATAATTTTAGAACTAAAATCATAATGCCTCCATAAATTGTATTTTTTTTTTTTGGTGCTGTTTCATTATTCTGGTTGAATGGATTAAACAAAAATCAGGACTTATTTTGGCTACAAAATCAGAAATGCAGCAAAAAGATGAATATTTATTCTAATTTAAGGCACTTGGTCATAATCACTAATATGGTTATTGCAATTGTAAAACAGTATAATATTATGGTTGGGAGTATCGAACCGACAGTTTAGATTTGGAATTAGAATTGGAAAAAATTTAGTTCAAAATTGATACTAAATTATCAAAAGCATTGATTTGGTACTCCCAAAAGCAATATAAGAGATTTTGTTAAACTTTGGATGAATAGTCTTTCTTAAAAAAAAATAATAATAAAATAAAAAATAAAAGAATAGTAAAGATGGGGGCATAAATGTCAAACAAAAGCCCCGAATTAAATTGCTAATAAACAATGCTATATAGATTTGTCTTTTTATCATACACAAAAATAGATAAGATTATAATGTAATAACTTACTAGTTATAGCAATCAGATTTATTAATCTTTTTGATGACTTGATTAATTTTAATTCAACTAAAGCAATACCTCCAACCATGTTATAATGAAATGGTCATATACAAGTTGCATTATTTTCTTCTTTGAAATTAAAATGACTAAATTATCCATCAAAAAGAATTTATAAATAAGGGAGCTCATCTTCTCCTTTTTTTTTTTTTTTTTTTTTTTTTTTTTTCACATCAAAGCCTCTAATTTCTCTTTAATCGCTCTCTACTACATCTTCGACTATTGCTCTGTTCTCTAAATTGTTCTATTGCTGTACACTTCTTATTTAGGGAATTTTGCAAACGAAAAAGCTGGCCTACTTCCAACTTCTTCATAGCTGCTGAAACTTGATTCAGTTTCTTTTTCATATTTCAGATTTTAATTAAAAAAGGAAAATGATATTTGTACCAAAGAGATAAACCGATTTTATGTGATGTCTACGTGGATATGACCTATCACAATATTTAAAGTGATAACTACTACTATTACTACTATTAAGTTTATCTTTCTTCTATTTTTTTACTTTCCTTTCTTATCTTACTCCAAGAGTTCAATATATCTCTTTTATTTATTTATTTATTTATTTCTCTCTTATTCTCTTTTTTCAGTTTTTCTCCTGTCATCTCGTCCATCTTCCTCACACAACTTGATACCTTCATATAATTGTAGAGAGATATTTGATTAATTGTTAGTGATGATGCCTACTTATAAAATTTCAATAAAATCAAATTGTAATTGTATTACAGAAAATGAATGTTAATGAATTCAAAGTGATTGTCCAGACTTTTGTATAATTTTTTAAAATAAAATCATCTTAATAAAATTAAATTATATTGGATAGAATGGATGTAGGGAATTTTGTACAGATAATCTTCTTTTCAAATCCGATGGGCATATAGGGAATTTTGTATTCTGAATATAAAATATTTATACAATGATACAAATCTCCTTCTCCTACAAGTCAGCCCAAGTACATCCTATAATTAAGGTAAATCACATCCTATAATCAAGGTAAACTAAATATCTTATAATCAAGGTAAACTAAATATTATAGATACAGAATTTATTGGTGTAAATGGCAAGAGAATCATATCAAATCATATCAATGGAAATCATATTGATCTAACATGCCCCGTCAAGCCGAGGGGGAAGGAGTCCACACGAGGTTGGACCGAAAAGAGGAGAAAGTGGGAGAAGAAAGTCCTTTAGTGAATAGATCGGCAAGCTGATTGGAAGAACGAACAAATTAACCGACCTTTGCAAACCAAATCCCGAATGAAATGATAGGAGACCTCAATGTGCTTTGTCCATGCATGAAAAATGGGATTGGCAGCAAGTTGAGTGGCTCCCATATTATACTACAATATGGAAGACAAGGGCAGACCAAGGTCGCGTAACAGATAGGAGAGCCAAATAGTTCTGAGGTAGCAGTAGATAAAGCTTTATATTCTGCCTCAGTACTGGACTGGGAAACACTAGCTTGCTTTTGATTTTTCCCTAAGAAGATACAATAACCCATAGTGGAGCGCGGATTATTAGGACAACCAACCCAATCAACATCTACAAAACCAGCGAGAGACGAAGAGGATGTGGCGGTAAAATTCAAACCAGAACCCAAAATGCCTTTCAGATAGGGCCAAAAATCACCTCCAGTCCAACAGTGCCCCATTTTCTCCATTTGGGAGTGCGTGAAGGAGAGTTGGCCACGTCGCTTAAAAAATTGGATGAACAAATTTTAACTGGACACTGTTTCAGTTGTATTAAACGGGTATAAAAGATTTAAGTGTTATATAATAAATACGGTTGGAATTGTCCATTTAGCCCTTACATATTGTTTGCAATTGTCCATTTACCCCTTACATAATTTTTAACGAAAGAAATAAGGGAAGAAGAAAGGGAAGGGTTTTCGAGGTTGGTCTGGAACAAAGAAGAAGAAGAAGAAGAAGAAGAAGAAGAAGAAGAAGGGAAGGTCTGAGGCTTTAGGGTTTTCGATGTTGGTCTAAAACGAAAAACAAGGGAAGAAGAAGAAGAAGGAGGGAAGGTTTGAGGCTTTAGGGTTTTCGAGGTTGGTTTGAAACGAAGAACAAGGGAAGACGAAGAAGAAGGGAACAAGGGAAGACGAAGGAGAAGGGAAGGTCTATGCTACTGCATCTGAGGCTTGGGTGTGAGGGTTTTCGTGATTGGTCTGAAATTAAGGTTGTCTGAGTTCAATTGCTGTAGCTTTGTTGGGTTCCAACAATGCCCCATTTTCTCCATTTGGGAATGCGTGAAGGAGAGTTGGCCACGTCGCTTAAAAAATTGGATGAACAAATTTTAACTGGACACTGTTTCAATTGTATTAAATGGGTAAAAAAGATTTAAGTGTTATATAATAAATACGGTTGGAATTGTCCATTTAGCCTTTACATATTGTTTGCAATTGTCCATTTACCCCTTACATAATTTTTAACGAAAGAAATAACGGAAGAAGAAAGGGAAGGGTTTTCGAGGTTGGTCTGGAACGAAGAAGAAGAAGAAGAAGAAGGTCTGAGGCTTTAGGGTTTTCGATGTTGGTCTAAAACGAAAAACGAGGGAAGAAGAAGAAGAAGAAGGGAAGGTCTGAGGCTTTAGGGTTTTCGAGGTTGTTTTGAAATGAAGAACAAGGGAAGACAAAGAAGAAGGGAACAAAGGAAGACGAAGGAGAAGGGAAGGTCTATGCTACTGCATCTGAGGCTTGGGTGTGAGGGTTTTCGTGATTGGTCTGAAATTAAGGTTGTCTGAGTTTAATTGCTGTGGCTTTGTTGGGTTCATTAAATTTGTTGGTGGAAATCAAATTTAGGGTTTGAAATAGGTAGGTTAAAGAAAATAGCTCGTAACAAAGGGAAAAGGGAAATTATACCTGATGGAAAGAAGAAAACCATTCCTAATCCTTCTCCTATTTAGAACTTTAGTCGTGAGGTTGGTGAGAGTTCTAGAATGGCCTCTGACAGTGATTTTGATTATGTGCCACCTAAAGAGGTAGATGAAGATGAAAAAGAATTTGAACCTGAGACAAACACTACTACATCTGCAAAGAGCAAAGAAAGTATGTCGTGTCGTCCTGGTGGAGTGTTCCTTTTGTTCAAGTATGTATGTATTAATGTTAATTTTGTCATTGAAATTTGGTTTGAAGTTTAGTTCTATTTTTATTATCATTGGAATGCAATATATTATGTTAGACAGTTAGTTTTTCATAATTCCCAACTTCAAATAATTATATGAATTGGTCATTAATTTGAAATTGTAAAATTATGAAAATGTAGGAACAAATTAGGAAGTTATATTATTTTCACACGGGAGAACATAAAAGGAAACTTGTGATGCATATGTATAATTTCCAATTTTTAAAAAATATAACAAAAAATAAAGGAGCAGAGTTGGGTTATGTTAG